GTTACATTTATCCCTAGACGAATTCCTACGGTTACATTTTTTTTTCCTAATGACACTCTTTCAGTGATGCACTTAATCATGCATAGCTCTAGGCACAAGTGCCTGCCCCACTGAAATCTACGTATATAAACATACACTTAAAGTTAAGCTGGTACTCAAAATGTTTTGCTGAGCTGAAGCCTATGTGCTGATGGATTGCCTGGTTAGCCATAAACTGCACGGTTACATCTGTTTTTGACTGCTGGCTCGGAAACAGATACCTGTTCTGTTTGAATCAAATTTATCGTGGCTGTTACTCACATAAAAATGCTTTTGGCACCACACACATCTATGTTGTGAAACCAAAATTTTATGTTAAAAATGGATTTGCGGTCAACTGAGCAAAGGTGGTTTACATTCTCCTCAGCAGAAACCTGTATGGGAAGAAATTAAACATGCCTTGATGTATCCTGAAAAAGAGAATTTGGGAAGCCCTCAGAAAGGCTGCTGGAACACATCTGTCACAGCAAAAGGCAGACAAACCCCGGGCACTATGCTCTGGGTGATGGACTTTGCCAAGCATGACAGGCATGAGGGCTGCTGCAGCTATTGAGCCACACTGTCAGGCAGTTGATCTGAGCAGCAGCTCTTTCTTAAGAGCCCTGGTGGCACTGCCCACTGCACAGGTCTCTTTTCTGGCTTAACAGATACTCTTTGTAAAATGTTTGCTTGAGGTCAGGATGTGGCTGTAGTAAAAATCATTATAAAGGCATGCCCCTGGGGTGTTTGTTCTTGTGGGAATAAAGCACTTCAAATCCACATGGACCACTCAGTCAGTGGCAGGAAAGAGAACACGTAACGAATGGTTTGTAAAATATTATTAGCTTGAATCAGGTGGTGATAGCAATATGCAAACAGCAGCTCAGTCCACTCTGAAGCTATCCTGCTATTTGACCATGTGCACACAAATGACAGAACGAATATGCTGCGCCAGAGTAACATCAGCAGGTAAACTGACTGTTAATGCTTGTGTTAATGTTACTGAGCATGTCCACAATAAAAGAGATGTTTCCAAAAACTTGATTCATCTGACGACAGGAGAGTGCTGAATCAAGCAAAAAAAAAAAAAAAAAATTAAAAATGTTACCACAAGTGCTTATTTGACAGCAACGAATTCTGTGCTATGGCTCTGTGAGACATTCATAATTTCACTCATAATTTCAGGAGATCTCTCATTCAAATTGTCAAAGCCTAGCAAGCTTGTTAACAACATCAAGGGGTGACTGGTCCTTCATCTTCTTGCTCTTGTTCTACTGAATGATCAATGAACAAACGAAAACTGACAGCTACTGCAAGGATAACAAGAATTAGGAGATACAAAATATGTTTCTACCCCTCCCTGCCTAATTCAGCCTAAGGTAGTTGATATTCATTTCCAGAAAATGTTGAAAAACTAAAAAGAGCTGTAGCTTAGATGCTGGATGTTCTGCCCCCACCAAGCAGGGCCACAAGAGTGGCGTGAAGCAGGACAGCTAATGGAACTGGGGTCCATCGGTTGTTCTCTTCTTTCAGGGCTCTGATTCGACCAGATACAAAGGTAATCCACTGAAAGAATTAACACAAAAGTTCTAAGGCCTCCCTATGATTTTCACAGTGCCTTGACAAATTTGACTGTAGGAACATCAGAACAAAACCTCAAGCTACGATCTTTTTATTAAATATTTGATCTCCATTAAAATATCAAGACTTCTTGGTGGTGTTAGCTTTCATTGTGAGCGAATGCTTTCAGCCCATGTCTTAGTTTCCCTAAATTCCTAGTTGAGAAAATAATAAATTAATAAATGTTGATGTTCGTGAAGTACTGTGCTTATTCACTGCACACCAATGTTTGAGACTGTAATGATAGGACTTCGAACTGAGAGTGAGTAGATTTGGATTAGGTATTAGGAAAAAAATTATTTAGTCAGAGAATGGTGAGACAATGGCACAGGCTGCCTAAAGAAGCTGTGGATGCTCCATCCCTGTAGGTGCTCAAGAGCATGTTGGTTGGGGCCCTGGGCAGCCTGATCTAGTGCCATGGCAGGGGGATTGGAACTGGATGATCTTTATGCTCCCTTCCAACCCAAACCATCCTGTGATTCTATGAAAGCCGATTTTGATGAGATTCACTTGAATCCTCACTCTTAAAATGAATCAGGGAACTAAACCATATTATATAAGTAAGTAGGCACTAAGAACGGCTAAGGTTTAGAACATAACATTAACATTATAAGAAATCACACAAATGGCAAGCGGACATGATCCAACCACAGGATATGAGATGCATTGGTTGGAAGAGCCCCACTTAGTTTGTTCAGAGATATTCTTTTTTTATCAGGAAGTCAAATACAATATAGAAGGAATGGCCTCAAGTTTACCAGGGAAGATGCAGGTTGGACATTGCAAAAAACTTCTCTGCAAGAGTGGTCAGGCACTGGAACAGGCTGCCCAGGGAGGTGGTGGAGTCACCGACCCTGGAGGTGTTCAAAAAATGTTTAGATGTTGTAATGAGAGACGTGGTTTAGTGAGAAATATTGGTGATAGGTGGACAGTTGGACTGGAAAATCGTGGAGGTCTTTTTCAGCCTTACTGATTCTATAATTCTATGATTAAATAAATTATTTCATAGATTCAGCTCTCTCCAATCAAGTCAGCAAGATTTTAATTGAAGTTTTCTCATGCTTGGCCGATCTGTTCGATTTCAATGATGAGATGGCAGGCTTGGTGTATGAGGGGAGTACAGTGGATGTGATTTATCTCAGCTTTGGCAAGACTTCCACCACACTCTCCCATATTGTCACCTACAAAACATTCCAGAAATGAATGAGTTGCAGACTAAATGAATGGACAGAGAGATGGACTGTAAACTGTCTGAACTGCTGGGCTTACCAGACTGTGATCATGAAGTCCAGCTGGAGGCCAGTCATAGCTGTGTACCTCAGGGGAAGATACTGAGGCCAGTAGAGTTTAACACCTTCATTAATGACCTGGGCAACTCAACAGAGCAAATCCTCTGCAAATTTGCAGATGTTATAAAACTGAGAAAAGTGTTTGTTAGACCAGATGCTTGTGCATCCATTCAAAAGGACCTTGACATACTGGAGAACTAGGCTAACAGGAATCTCATGAAGTTAAATAAAGGGAAATGCCATGTCCTCCTCATGAGGAGGAACAACCTCTCCTACCAGGAAAGGTTGAAGCCAGCTGGATGGAAAGCAACCCTGTAGAAAGTGCTCTGAGATTCCTGGAGAGCAGCAAGCTAACCATGGGCCAGCAATGCACCCTTGCAGCAAAGAAGGTCAACAGTCTCCTGGGCTGCACTAGGCTGAACATTACCAGCAGGTCATACATGGTGATTTCTCTCTGTTCAGCCCTGGTGAGACAAACCTGGAGCACTGAGTCCAGCTCTGGGCTCCCAAGTACAAGAGACCTGGGTAAACTGCCGCAGGTCCAGTGAAGGTCCGGAAGGATGATGAAGGGCTTGCGGCACCTAAGGTACAAGGAGAGTCTGAGAGAGCTGGGACTATTCAATCTGGGGAAGGAAAAGCTCTGGACAACTTTATCAGTGTGCATAAACATCTGCTGGGGGATGATATGGAAGCTGAAGCCAGTCTCTTCTCAGAGGCACCCACTGAAAAGACAAAACACAATAGGAACAAATTGAAATACACAAAATTCCTTGTAAATATATATATTTCCTGCAGGAGTTGTTGAGTATTGGAACAAGTTGCCCAGAAAAGGTGTGGAGTCATCATCCTTGGAGATCTTCAAAACCCAAATGTTTTGGTGTTGTTTGTTTGTTTGTTTGTTTTCTGTAGGGCATCTGCCTGCTCTTTCTGTATGAATTACAAAAGAGTAATTTCCTACTCTTCATTATATTGCTAATACAGACAGATGCTCTTTGTAAATGCAGTGTCAGTCCACAAATCAAATGTATATCTCACCTGCCACTTCCCCTACAATCTCAGGACTTGGGACAATGCACAGGCTGCACTGTTAGTGCCTCAGCTCAGCCCCACATGTTCCCCTGAACCAGTCTCTTTCCCCAACTGCCCCAGTGGGATCACGGTTGTCTATAACCAAAACATTGCTGCAACTGTAAAATTTGCCTGAAAGTTCATTTCAATCTGCTGCTTATAGTAAACAGGTGGGTTATGGCTTTGTCCTTCATGTTCAGTCTCATGTCAGTTCCAAAAATCTTGCTCAACTGATGTTCAGAGGTCGCAGCTGGAATCGAGAACAAAAATCCCACTGAACTTAATAAAGTATTTGGAGTAAAACTGACACATGACTGGGGATAGAAGGAAGGCACAGCCAGGAGGGGAGAGAGGAGTGTGAAAGACTTCAAAATTGAGAGAATTCATTCTTGTTGGTGAGAAGGCCTTGAGGAACTCAACCTACAAATTATCTCATTGTTGCAAGAATAAGAGAGAAATCACTCATTACTAAAAAAGCCTCATTGTGCTATTCAAGCACACTGAAAGCTTTTCTGAGAATATACCTTCTGTGGAGAAATGGAGCCAGAGGTAATGTTTTTTCCAACTTTTTCCTTTGCACTTCTATTTCTCCTGTGATGTTACCTGTCATTTAATGTGATTATACATATGCATACATAAATGTAAAAATAATTGTAAATATAAACAATACAAATACAGCTATAAATACGTGCGTGTGTATGCAGGAAAACAAACATGTGTTTGTTTATTCCCCTTGTGTGTGTGTACAACTACTATAGCAAAATCCTCTCAAAGCAGAAGTGTTCTACAATCCATTATTTTTTTGCCTAATTTCCCCATTTGTAATGCCAGCACCAGTTAATTTACAAGGCTTATTTCTAGCGCTAGTCAGTGGCAACAGTCCCCAGATGAGGTTACAGAGAGCTTAAAAATAATTCTCGGCCACTATTTGTCGAGATCTGTGTGCCAAAATAAACACAGGGCTTGTGTATTTGTGTATGAGGCTCATCCTGCTCTTCACTGCTTCTAAGTAAACAGCCCCCAGCCGCTTTACCTGCATGAAGCAGGATGTTTGGGAGCACAGAGGCTGGGTGCTCCGCAGCACCCCTCGCAACCCATTATAACAACTACGTTGGGAACTGGAGGCTTGGTGACACTGGCAAGGTTTAGGCTAAGCCCCAGTTGCCAGTGACACCCCATCTCTCCATTAGCCACCAGGCATGAGACCCCTTCAGCCCTGCTCTGCGTGTGAAGTGACTTGCTACTGCCAGCACAGCTACATTTATAGAGGTATGGCGTAAATTTGACCTAAGATACATTTGTTTTCTTGTTGTTGTTTTATCTGTACAGTGGGGCAGAGGTGCCTTTCTCCTCCCGTTCTTCCGTTTTGGATAAAACCTTACTTGTTTTCACAGGAACGTTAGCTCAGAGCTGCTGCTGCTGTGCACAGCCGATAAAACTTGCTTGGAAAGACCATATGTCACATGGATCTGCTCAAGAGGCATGAAGCCCTGCCTGTTTACCGATCCTTTAAAGATACAATTTTATGCTCAGTTAAAATGGAAAAGAGCATTATGTTTAAAGATAAACCCATTTACTGTGCAACTGCTTTACTGAATTCTGTCACCAAATTACTTGTTAGTAAGACATTTGGACTGCCTGTTAAAAAGAAAAAAAAAAAAGTTGTTGCACATCTCTTTCTCCTTGTTTATCAGTTGCTATGACAATGCTAATGACAATAGCATCACAGACCAGCATTACAATCTTTTACTAGAAGCAATAATAGACAAAATCAGTTCTGAGGAAAAAGCTCCCTTTATTAATGTAGTTCTTTGACCCGGGGTGTTAGCCAACATTCACGGTCCCTTCAGGTTGTTTCTGTTTGGAGAACAAACAGATGAGAATGTGAATTGGGTTTTTCACTGTGTTTCTGCTTATTTAGGAAGAATGCAGACAATGTCCTGTTACTCTGGGCTCAGCAAGAGTCAAAACAATGGGCGGTGCTTTCTCTTTTCACACTTCCAAGCTTCTTTTGAGCCATAACTCAAGCTTGCTCCCTCTTTGCTTTCTCTCAGGGTCAGGCTACAAAGGTTTTCCTTGTTGGCTCCGGTGTGTCCTTGCTACTTCCTCTGTCTGCTACTCTGATGTTTCTGCTGTCACTTTCTGACTCACTCAGTTTCATCATATCCCACCTTGTCCACAGGCCCTGATCCTGTAGGAATGCTTTGGTCCCCCCATCTCTCAGAGCTGCCAGGCGTGTGCAGTGTGGGAAGTACGTGTGTGGCTCTTGGGGATTTCAGTGAGCATGTTCCATAAAGAAGGTAATTTTTAGGCTTTTCCTAGGGAAGGGAAGCTTTCTCACCCACCATCTTCATCGAAGTTTCACTCCTGACTTTGAGCATAGCACTGAATTTATTTCCAGTAGTGTATTTTAGCAGTCTAAATGCTTTTTTTCTTAGTTCAGTCAGAGAGTCTCCTTCACTGTCAGATCAGTTTTTGTATAGAAGTGCTATGGGGGGGAGCAGAAAATATGCTACTGTTTCCGAACAAATCAGCCTCCAATGCAACTATAATAAAGTTGTGAATAAGTCCTAGAGGAATTAAACAGATTTGACAGCATTTAATTTCCATAAATTTAGGGCCTGATCCTGCTTTTGTTTTGCTAACAAGTACTAGAGGGAGATAAAGCATGAACCGAAGAGCAAAATAACATCCCAGCTAAGCAATGACAGGCAGGTGTATGATGGAGCTGCTGGGACACTTCCTTGCCCAACAGAGGTAACTCCAGCATCCCTGCTTTGGATCCAACCCATTTTTGCTGTGCACAACAGGTCCCCTGGCCAGGCCTGACTGAGCTGCACAGACACTACTTTGGTCAGCAACTTTGGCTTTGGCTAGCACTCAGGGCTTTAAACTGTCTGGAACAAAGGTAGCATACAGTGTAACCTTTGCTAAGTCAAGGCAAAGATCTTGGACTTTAAACAGCAAAAACTCCCAACAGCTGCGTTTTCTTTTTGGTTTTTAAGGAAACAAACTCAAAGAGTTTCATTTTATCTTGGCCTATCATCACAACTCACTCAACATGAAGTTTCTTCTATCTCTTAGGCAAGGCACGTCCCTGGTTTCCATATACTTCCTTATTCCTTCCATAAGTCCAATTCCTACCACATCCTTCCCATCTTTATGTAGGTGATAGACTGTGATTCTGAGCAGGAAAGATCGTCGGACATGATCTCATACAACTACAACTCTGAAAGCAATTCTTCACTACTGCAGGTGAACCAGTTGAAAATTTCGGAATGCCCCAACAGAATAAATGGGCATCTTTGGTCACACAGCAGTAATACTTCCACAGTGGTGAGACCACTGAATACTGTTTTTCTAGTATGGTGTGTCACCCATTGAACTGGGAGCATCTCATCAGCAGTGAACCCAATGCCATGAAAAACCTTTGAATTCAATATAAAGTAATTTAAATGGAATTCTCTCTGAAAGAACAGAGCTTGCAACTTCTAGTCAGGAATCTCAGGCCATCCACTCGCCTGGTGAGCCAGTAATCCTCAAGAAATGCCCTTTTGCTGTGACCACTATTTCTTAGTTAATGTACAGTGAAAAGTATATAATTGGTTTAATCTTTGAAAGAGGGGTAAGCTTTCTTCAAGCACTGCAGAGAGTAAGCAGCTCTCTGCATGGAACATCCAGTTATGGGCACGTGCTATTCAAACTGAGACACGCGATTCATCTCAGTCCTCAGCAGAAGGTGGAGTTTGAGCTTTCCAATTTTCTTTTGTTTCTGTAGGAAAACACAAGCACGCTGAACAAAAGAAAAAGCCATTTTCTTTTCAAACTGTTTCTGAAGGAAATGGTTCAACAAGTTCTAGTAAGATTCCCCACAGAGTAGATGTTCTCAGGATTGCGTGTTGTTAATTTCTTCCATTTTTCACTAAGCTGACAGTCTCTTGATCAGGGTCAGAAAAAAAGATCTCCCCGCTTGAGCAAGTTATCTTCAATAATCAACTCTATAATAATTGTTCTCTATTCCAATTACTCTCATAGCGAGGATTTGAGAATGTGACTCCCACATCTGAATCATGGATCAACCATAGATTTGTACAAATCTGTACATGTGCCAGAAGTACCAATGTGATCCAAGTCAGAAGGGAGCAGACAAGTTTATTTCTCCTGAACCTGCCTTGTGCTTATCTTTACGCTGCCTTCATCCTTGCACTGTGACCCTTTGCTGGCTGCAAGACAACAGCCAGTCTCAGTCAGCATAAAGCTGTTGTTGAAGACAGCACATCAACATTTTTGGAAGTAGTGCAAATCCAGTGTCAGCACTTGGAGTACAAATCCAGATGAGCTGAGTGTGATCACACAGGAGGAGCACCGGAACTGGACTTGCTGTATCACTGAACCACAGCCACAGAAGTGTATCCTAAATGCAAGGAGATTGCCTTATGAGGCCATTTTGCTTCAATCTCTCCTTTTGGATCTGTTCCACTTTGCTTGCAGTGTTAATATTCACTGAGTCAGAGAGCATGAGAATAACTCTTTAGTGAAGGACTCAGGGCATTTGCTGGAGAGGGGAAACACATGGGTGCCAGCATGGACTGAAGCATTTCAGCAAAGCAGAACAGTGCCAATAGGAGACACAAGCAGCCACCAGGCCCTTACTACCTGTTAGCCTGCTGAGACACATTCACAACCTCATCAGAGGGGGACAGACGTAATTTAGAGCAGTCACTACCACCATCCTCTCCCTCTAACTGTGACTACTGCCCATGAGGAGACTGGTACAGTCTCACCACGTCCTTGCTTACTCAGCCTCTGTGTGCATCCAGCTTGGAGCACCCTCCTGCCTGCAGTGACCCCCTACATTAGATCAGACTACATAGGCTGCCTATTGCCTGCAGCTATAGTCAGGCACGGCCTTGGAAGTAAAACATTAACACACTCCCGTGGGAAAGGAAAATTCTGATTTAAAGATAGCACTTTGCACTTTCTGGTTCTTTTCCTTAGCTGCTCCTGGCTAAAGTGTTTCCTTGGAAAGTCACTGCACAATTTTTTCTAGTCCCATATGCCCAAAATCAAGAGTGCTGTTTTTAAAAATTGCCATCAGCTGCTTGTGATCTGCTTCATTGTCTACATCCTTCTGAAGTTCATTAGCAAAAGTCCTAGAAACCCCCACCCTCTGGTGTATATTTTCTCTCCCTTTTCAGAACAGTTCAATTATGCCACTTTTTTAAGGCTTTAATATTTTGTTCCTAATCCTGATTTAGAAGCATCTGCTAATAAATTGACAGGTTGTGACATGTCACTGTAATTTAGAGCTTTTTCACCTTAGATTCAGAGTGATGCTTTTATGATTTCAGCAGGCTTTTTATTCACAGCTCCGTAAAGCTCCCATCTTGAGTAGCTCTTTGAGTGGGGTTGTCAAGACAGCTATGTTTGGTACACATTTTTTCCTGGAACTGAATTCAATTTTGCCTATAAAGTTACAATTCCTCTGTCCGCAGCTTGTTTTGTTCTGCAGTGGCTTAACTTTTCATTTAAATCATCTCTTCTCTTGCTAGCACAGGATATATTCAAAATACTTACATAAGGAGCTTATTTTTATTGGTTGCACTTGAAATTCATCCCCTTCAGTGTCCTTCCCTCCTTCATTACATACCTAACAAATCTCAGCTCATCATTTGCTTTGTGTTGTGATATACTGTTGTATTGTGCCCAGCATGTTCACTGGAACAGAAGGTTTGAATATCTGCATCTAGCAAATGGGAAGCTGACTGTAGTTAGAGCCTTATGATTACTGTTCAGCATTTGCATCGCGGTGTTACTCGGAGACCCTAGTGACTGAAGCTCTGTTTGGATCTGTGCATATCTATTCTGAAAAGACAGTATGTACAATAAATAATTCATGGAAGAAATAATTCTGTGCTGAATGTAGCTTGCCAGCAATGTAGTTTTGCTTGACCTAAGATGGGAACTCCTGAGCATCCTGTGTCTCCAGTAAGATCTCATTATGGAGAGGTGGTATTTTTTACCTTTATTTTGCAGATTTCTGCTTTACGGCTTACTTCTGAAGGAGATCTGAGGAGGGTAACCATGATGAATAAGCCCACTGTTAGTTAGTGGGTGTAATCTGGCCACACAAGGATTAGTATTTGCTTTAGAAAATGTTTTAAAACTTCTTTTAATTTTTCTAAAAAAGATGTAAAAAATCACCACTTTAAAGACCAGACACATCAACTCTAGAAAATTTTAAACATTAAAATGTTTTTTTTTTTTTATTTTCAGTGTGAAATTACCAAAGTGATTGAAAGAAGCTAACAGCAGTAGTCCAGAACTCAGAGAGATCTGCAGGCAGTTTCCATCGTGCTGCGGTCTTACAAGTCAAACGCAATCTGTGGGCACACGTAGGATTTGATTTTTGGTTTTGAAAAGCTGGACATACAGGAATGGCAGTCAACTGATTCTTTCCTAGGGCTCAATGAGGCTTGGCTGATGCCTAGAAGATGAAAATCTGTGCCAGGCACATACTTTTTCCTCGGCCTTCTTCCACAGGCAAACCTGCAAACTGAAGTGGAAGTCTCTCTGCTGGGCCAACCTGGCCATCTCTCACAGTCTACAAACAAATAACCAGAGACAGCAGCCTTTCAGCCACACTTCTGCTGGGGCTGCTTGAAGAGGCAGCCTGGAAAATTTGGAACGCCATCAATTCGTTTTAAAATACCCACACAGACAGAAGCAGCGGGACTGTATTTTATCAACAATTTCTGGTGATAAAGCTCTGGGGGGAAAAAATATCAGTTTTCCATAAAACTTCCTATACCTAAGCTATTTCTAAATGCAACTATTGGACACTTAAAAAAAAAAATAAATGCTATTTTAAAGGCGAATTTAAACATTACTTTAATGGCTAAGGTTTGGAGAAACCTTTTTACAAGATGTCTGCGTGTGTTCATAGCTATAGGACATGCGTATGCATTATTACTATCTATGTGATAATTTGACAGTTGTAAAATGGTTTAATTTTACTGTCATATCACTAAAGACTCTTGCTATCTAGTAGCAAAACAGCTGTAATACTCATGTCTCCTATTTACGTTGTAATGAAATAATATTGACAGTTTGAGCATGTTGTAACATAAATGGAAGACACTCTGAACTAGAAGACAGTTATCCTAAGTGGATATTATTGTCTTTATCTGTCACTACTAGTAATCCCTAAATAGAAATTAGCCTCAGTATTTATTAAAAGAACACTGGAATTCAAGAAAGCCCCTTCTTCTCTCTGAATCATGCTTTCAGTTTTTAAAATTTTCTTTCTTTTTCAGAAAATTTCATAAATGCTTTCTCCTTATATTTAACTACTTCCAGTGGAACATAAATTCTGAACCTTTCCCAGCTATAAAGGCAACAAAAGCTTGAAACCAGCATGGTCAGCATGTTGCTGATGTAGTATGACCCACAATATTTTCTAATGGGGTTTTTTTTGTGTGTTGTTTTTTAAATTTTTGCTGCTATCTAGAATAATAACTTCTATGCTTTACGTTTCCTTTTGGAATAACATATCAGGCCAAATCATGTGTTTAATATCTGTTGCTCATTGCTGTTAGCTCACAAAAATTTGTGTGATAATATCCATTAAAAGTTGGGACACAGTCTCCTGACTGTTTCATCTTGCATAGCCTTTCCCATGAGTTACATTAAAAGAGTCCCCTGAAAAGAACTCTTCACAAGGGTAGATAATGGCAGGACAAGGGGAAATGGTTTTAAGTTGAAGAAGGGAAGATTTAGGTTGGGTATCAGGGGAAGTTCTTTACTATGAGAGTGGTGAGGTGCTGGAACAGCTGCCCAGAGAGGTTGTGGATGCCCCGTCCATCCCTGGAGGTGTTCAAGGCCAGGTTGGATGGGGCTCTGGGCAGCCTGGTCTGGTATTGAATGTGGAGGTTGGCAGCCCTGCCTGTGGAACAGGGGTTGGTGCTACATGATCCCTGAGGCTCCTTCCAACCTGGGCCATTCTGTGAAAAACACCACAGTATGTTTTTTCACTCTTTCTCACACTAACACTACTGGATGAATCCTTCAGCAATAGATACGTGGCACAATTTTGTGATGGACCTCTAGCAAGCACCTTTCCAATCCACCTGGATGGATCAGTTCTGTCTCACTCTATGCCAGAGAAGGCAGACTTTTTAAAAGAAGCATAGAAGTTTCTTGTTTTGGTTTCTACTGTGCTATTACATGGCATATAGTTTTTTTTAATGCTATTCCTTCTGACACTTTATTAAATGATTGTACTTTCATGTCTTTTCTACCCTTAAGTTCCGCAGAGGATTGTCTGACCTTGTATGATACTCTCCACTCGAGCAGCGTGTAAGATGGGACAGCTATATCTTATTCTGTGTACAAACAGGGGGTTCTCAAACTCTGACAAGGGCAGGCCCAGCCAGTTAACCTTCTTCAAAGTTATGCCAAACTGACTGCAAAAGGCTCATTTGAAGCACTTGTCTTCAGCCTCCCAAATGACAAATACATGCGAATGTATTTCCCCGGGTATTTTGCTAAACAAGCACAGTGTCAAGAAAGCAGTTTGACATTCCAGGGTGTGTGTGGGTAAACAACATAAAAAAGGAGTAAGCAAAGATCACATACTGTACTATAACTTCAAGTTCACATGCCAATAGCCCTTAGGAAGAGGGAATAAGGTGCTTTACCCTTCCTCTTGTTTACTGAGGAGAGCGAGGGCAGCTGGGCAGTTCCCAAGTGCTGGCAGTTGCTGTAGGTTGCTGTAGAAGTCTTCCCACAAGAAAAGGGGCACACTCACCATGCAGTAGAGCTCACCAAAAGCTCATGTTCCTTCTCCCTGTCCCAAATGTAATAGTAGTTCTCAGATATTTTTGCAAAGCTCTGCTTTTCAAATATTTTGTTAACCGTGTAGCAAAGTAGGAAGCAGAAACGTTAAAGACAGAGACTGGAGATTAGCATCAGTCAGATCCACTGCTTGAAATTTTACCTAATGATAAATGCCTTTCGTGGTAACTTCTTATAACGCTCACGCCAGTATATTCAGGCACAAGACAACATGTACACCTTGATGTTCTGCACCTTTTCTACCAATAGTCCCTCTTCTCACCAATGAGAACTATTCTCCCGACGCCAACACATTTTCAGTGAGATCTGTGGTTGACAGATGAAGAAAAATACACCCTCCAATTGCTATTTATGATATGATTACACAGGTCAAGTTTAATTTCAGCATTGTGGATGAATATGTTACCCAATCATTTTAATGATACACTCTCAAACCAGAGTGGGGCTGTGGACGGAAAGAAAACCTTGTTTATAACTTGTCTGCTGATGATTGGATTTTGTTATGGAAGCATTCGGATGCAATCATCTGCAACACAAAGGTAGGGAATGTTCACACCCTTCTATAGACACTGTAGGGGTAGCTGAACGACAGGTAAGAGAGGCATGGCACTGAGGGTGCAATATTAAAGCAGGGATTACTTTTCCTCAGGGCTAAAGCAAGAGTATACTGAATCAAATTAGCACTTCTCAGGTAAAATATATTGCTGAATATTGCTCTCCAGACTGCAGAATCAAGAAACCACCAGTGCTGGCCTAATCCAGCTCATCTTATGTTGGTGTTTCATCAGTAGTCACACGTACTTCAGAAGCTCCTGTGTTCAGCAGAGCGTTTTCAAGACCGTACAACCATCTGAGCACTTCCCTGCAGCAGCCTTCAGACCGGCGGGTTGGGCTTCTTGCAAAAGGAGGCAGCGCCGCCGGAGCAAGACTGCTGAGATGCAGGGACGGACTGAACCAGGACAGCCTAACCAAAACACCCGCGGAAACACTACATGAATTAGTTATATCCACACACTGAAGATTCTTGCTGGAAAGTTCAATAGCTGGAAAAGGGATTTCTTTGCCTCTTTTTGCCGGTGACAGCTGCGTTTTCATAATGCCAGACCAGAGCTGCTCTTTATGTGTGCTTTACCCCTCCGAGGCTTTTTGAGATGCTTGTCTATCAGCCACGGGAAAACTCCCTTTCCCGCATCCCGCCCTCCTCAGCGTCCCGCCCGCGAAGCCCTGCCGCCCCCCTCCCGCCCTCATGGCGCCCGCCGTCCCCGCTCTCCCGCTAGCGGCTGCCGCACGGCCAACGGCCGCCGGGCTCCCCCTAGGGGCGGCGGGGAGCGGGCCGCGGCGTTGCCGGGAGACCGGCGGGAGCGGCGGGGTGGGCGGCGCCCTGAGGTCGCCTCAGCGCTCGCTGCCTCTCCGCGAGCCCTTCTGTGGGGCGGCTCGGGGCCGTGTCCGTTAATAAATAATAAGTAAAAGTAACTGCAAGTGCCAGTCCTCGAGGGGGGCTCCGTCCCTCACGGGGGGGGGCTTAGAGCCCAGCTGAGACCCAGTGTTTAAGCCCTCCGGGGTGCGTGATCCTCACAGACGCTCCTGGAAACCAGGGTGGCCAGTCCCAGGCAGTGATAATGAAATTCAACAGCAGTCCTGGCATGAATATCGCCCTTTAAAAGGCAGAAGACGCTGGAGTTAACCTTAACTGCCACATACTATAGCTAGCAGCACCTGAGACCCATTAGTTCATACATAATTTCCCCTGGAACGCTGATTAATGTGGTTGTCCCAAACACAGTTCAGTGTTCTGTGAGATGCAGTTCCGGGGCTCTGTGGCTGTGCTGCTATTAAAGTGTGACAAAATGCCATCCTGGGCTCAAGTTGGACCTTCGTAGTGCGAAGGGGACATGTGGCTTAGTTGGGAAGGATGTCTGAGACTGGTTTTGTGTTGGTTTTAGAGCCTCAGAAAGCTGCTGAGCACAAGAAGCAGTCACAGTTAGACCCAGACATGCTGATCTCAGTCTGTATCTGTCGGCAGAGCAGGCAAACAGCCCCCTTACCTTTAGAAAACTGCTTCCTTGCTCACTAGGGATTTTGCTCAAGCTCTCCCATACTCAGCTGTCAGCTCCGGTCCCACAAAAGTGGGATGTCAGAGTGTATCTCTGAGCTTTCTGAGAGCTGGATTTCTGGGATGCGGTGAACCCTGGTCTGCTCGGGCTTTGAAGACTGAGGTGTGTGGAAGAGGGGCTAGGAGCATCTGCTGTCTTTCCTCATGCCTTGCAGATGCATGAACACGTTCTGCACAGGGCACCGTCTGCGCTGCCTCAGACTTCAGACTTCAAATCCCATTACAGGTGATTACAATAATCAAGAGAACAAATTCGCAAACCATCTTACCCAAGTCCTTGTATGAAAGAAAGGGCATCATTTCCGACAGGCTGGATGTGGAAAGATTGATTTCTTGGCATCCAAGCATAAGAACAGCCTTACTGGTTGAGACAAGTCCATCCAGCCCAGCAGCCTGTCTCTTGCATAAAAACCAGCTGATGCTTAGGGAATGGCAGAAGAGAAGGCTGAGCACATAGTGATGGCTCCCTGGCACACTGTCCCAAACTCCTGCAAGCTGCGGCTCCCCGAACCAGATGTGGTATCTTTAACAGCCGTTGATAGATTTTTGTTTCCATGTATTTGTGTAATTGCTTTTTGAGCCTGTGTCAGTTCTTGACATTGCAGCATCCTGTGACAATTAGAGGCAGGCTCCAGCAAAGCAGGGTGTAAAGAAGAGCCCTTGTTTTGTTTGTTTTGAACAGATCACCTAGTAATTTCATCCAGTGCTCCTACTTCTTGTGTTCTGAGAGTCAATTACAATCATTCCCCGTTTGCCTTCTCCGAGCCTTTCATGATTTTACAGGCTTTTCCCATATCCCTCTCACTTTTCTATACTGGAGGCAGATACTATAGAATTTAGAATTCTTAGATATTAGAACCTTTCTCTAGTTCTCATATGCTGTGTTGAGAGCATCAAACTTGACCAACATGGGATGCAGGCATATCAGGGAGATTTATACTAGTGCACAGCAGTGTTTTTGGTTTTTCTCCTTCCATACTAATTGATAAAATTTGATTTGCTTTTTTGAACACCTCTGAGACATTTATGCAGATTTCACAGAGCTTCCATGATGTCCTCTTGGTACGGTAGCAGCCTTGGACTTGTCTCAACCAGTATGGCTGTTCTTATGCTTGGATGCCAGGAAATCAGCACCTTCAGTTGTGAATGCAAAGTTGCCCGCTCTGCCGGTTGGCATTGCAAGTATCTACTCTGCATTTCCTCCTTCATTTTGTCACACGATTGATTACTCAGTATCATGAGACCTTGTTTTTGTCATGTGTCATGTTTTTACTACCGTAAATAATGTAG